GTTTTCGCACACACCCCAATGTCGGACGGTGAGATACCAGAAAAGGTCTTCTGGGACGATTAAAAGACAACCGTCAGGAAAGTCCCGAAGTGCGACCTTATCGAGGTGGGCAGTAAACTGCCAGGATGGACAGCTTATAGCCACTCTGTAACTGAAAACCGTTGCGAGAATCCTTAACCGCAAAACTTTTTCCGATACTTCAACGACAACCAGACTTTAAACCAATCAAATATGTGATCGAGCATGGTACGTGTGACAAGAAAGACCCAAAGAATCTATTAGCTTTTTTGAGATCGTTTAAAAATGTTGTAAAGGTAGAAAAAAGTAACTGAGATTTATTGCGATTTGATGGCACACGGACGAGCCACAGTGCATTAGTAACAACACTAAAAACAAATGTAAACATAAATTACCTATGAAGAGACAAAGTTCCATTTGAAGAACCAAGCGCAACTATATCTATTTTCGGCGACCATGAAGCAATACGGACCTTGCTCTTGGATAGGGCCTTTTCTTCGAACAGTGTGACGCAAAATTCCGCCATCTGCAATTGGATCTTACGTTTACATTAGAAAAAAGAGGACAGCAAAACTAGATCTTTTATAAAAGTAACTAAATCTTTGACATCATAGATTTTTCAAGCAATGTAACGAGTTGTCGCAGGGCAGGATATTTGGACAACACGCTAATCAGCGGTGAAAATAAAACATGATACTTCTCAAACATCATAAGGTAACTACATAAAAGGCAGTCAATTTTTCCGGGTTTCGTTCGGTCGAAGACGAAATGGTCGTTCGTTAAAACCTTGGTAACATTGCTGCATACACGATCGAATTCTTCAATGATTTCTCCGGGTTCCCGAGAAAGCCATCCGATAGCTCCCATGTACTTTTCGTACGCCAGTTTTTGACGATTAAACATGACGTTGCAGATAGGCCAGGGAAAAGCCTTTTGGAGTTTATTTTTTGTGTGCTGAATTCCTGAGGGATTTACCCAGGTGAAGTAAAGTGCAATGTTTCGAAGGGCATCCGATAACCAAAAGAAAAACACGTGGTGGCAGTTTTTCGTCTGTAAAACTTCCGGTTTAAGTTCCAGATTTGGATTCTTTTTCGTTTCTTTGATAGCGAGACACATCGACATGAATCCTGAGACTAATCGCCCATGAATATTCAAGACAGGCAATAAGCCATCTGGAGAGATAGTATAGGCATTGGACAGTTCTTGGCAAAGGAAACTAATTCCTTTAAGTTTAAGATACGTTTTGCATGCATTTGTGGTAGCCTCATCGTTTGGCAGACTATCGCCAGACGGAGTTGAGACAAGCTGGACCGGCTCCAACTGGAACATGATCAACTTCAACCTCCAAATTGATCCTAGCGGGAATCTATACACATGACTTAAATACCTCAATGGAATTTACTGGCCAAAGTACAATTATGTGCTGTAACTCTTGTCTCAGTTCGAATACTGTTAACTAGTGAGATAATTTTTTAGAGCTTTCCCTATTCGGGTTAAATCAGAGCCAAGAATTGGCGTCAGTCGCAAAGCCTATCAGATCGTGTACTAGGCTAGGGACAGCAGGTAGAAAAACTTAACTAATTGTTCCATTGACAAAATGATGCAAGTAATTTAAAATGTCAAAAGAAATGTGTCTTCCAGTTCATTTCTAAACATCATTGCATATATAGTCCTTGACTTGCTTCTGCAAATGTGAAAGTGTTTTGAAAACGTAATTATATGTTTATTATGCCAGATTACAAGCAATTGTAAAGAGTTGGTAATGCACCTCTTGGGCGCCTTCCAAAA